CGTCCTCTGCTATTTCTCTACATAAAACAAACATACATTTTGACTGCAGCAGAAATTTGGAATAATTAGGGATGATACTATAATTGAAAGCGGTGTGCTTACTCTTTGACTTCAGGTTTTGGTATACGACGAGGAGGTGCTTTTGGCGCAAATTTCATCTGCAGCAGACCATTTCATCAGTTCAAAATAAAAATTTAAAACTCTTCAAACAGAAATATAGATGGGAAAGCCAGAACAAACCTTCCTTTGACCAGCTGTACTGTTTTTGAGCAGATCATTCTCCATGGCTATTAGTAGTCAAATCTTCGTCCAAAACTGAAAAGAAAAAATAATGATCACTTACAATTAGTTGTCAAATTCCCAAGTCTTATCACGTCTTTATCTTAAAATGGCTTTGTCGACCTAATTAAATTGCACAGTGAATGCAACTAGGATAACACTATAATTAGAACAATATCGTCCACGAGGAAGAATGAAGGATATTGTTTCCATTCTCAAATGCCACTTGAAATTCGATCCATAAACTTCACTACTTCAGCCGTGAACTCTTATGTGGACGAAGTTTTCATTTAGGGATCATTTCGCTTCAATCAGAAGCTTCGAGCATGCTAGGAAAAAACACTACACGACAATATTTTTGAGCTAGAATATTAAAATTCACTTCATTAAAGCAACGAGAACAATAGCCAGGCAGAAAAGGCCATCCACAAAATCTGCTACTGGCAACTGCAATAAGTCCATAATCTTTTCTTAAATCAGTACTTGGGATGTTGAACCAAAAACCGTAGTCTAGTTATATACACATCGATCGATTTGGATCAAACAACGAACACTCTCATAATCTAGGATGCCGACATGCTTCAGACGAATCAACAAGAGTTAAACAGTATCCCATTCTAACTACAGAAGAAGATACTCCACCGGATCAAAAACTGTCAACTTATCTTAGCCATATTATCTTGGACGGATCAAATGCTAATTGGTGAATACGAATATAAACAAATCACGAATAAGAGGCCAGATTCATGGAAAACACAATTTGCACGCATGATTGAGCAACGCAATCGTTATGCATGGAACAAATGCATTCCCGACAAGCACACAAGTAATGAGTGAGAGAGATATTGAATCAGTCATTGAACTTCAACGATCAAATGCAAATCCAATACAAAAGAGAAAGCAAAAGCAATTATTCATAGCGTGAGTTGACGCGAATATTCAGGCAGAGATACAGGGAAGCGAGAAGAACGGAGAAAAAAATGGCGGCAGAAGCTTTCACCTGTTCCGAGAGTGAAAGAGACGCACCACGGCTGCAGCTTAACGTGACGGAGGTGGCCGCTTAGGACATAATAACTTATATGCCTTGGTGTTAAGAAACCTAGACAAAAATTAATTTTTATTTTCTAGTATTTGAATAATATTCAAACTTTATTATTTCCTTTTATAAAAATATTATTATAACGACCCAAATCCACAGCTAGTAGATATTGTCCTTTTTGGACTTTCTTTCTTGGGCTTCCCCTCAAGGCTTTTCTTTGGACTTTCCCTTTCGAGCTTCCTCTCAAAGCTTTAAAACGCGTCTACTAGGGAAGCTTTCGACACCCTTATAAATAATGGTTTGTTCTCTCCTCCCCAACCAATGTGGGACATCACAATCCACCCCCTTTCGGGACCCAGCATCCTTACTAGCACACCGCCTCGTGCCTACCCCCTCGGAGAACAGCGAGAAGGCTGGCACATCGTCCGATATCTGGCTCTAATACCATTTGTAACGACCCAGAGCCACCGCCAGCAAATATTGTCCTCTTTAGACTTTCCCTTTTGGGCTTCCCCTCAAGGCTTTAAAACATGTCTATTAGAGTATTAGAGAAAGGTTTCCACGCGCTTATAAATGGTGGTTTGTTCTCCCCGTGTGGGACATCACAATTATTAAGACATAAATATTCCACTAAAAAAAATTATAGATTTTGATCTTAAATTTAAAAAATAATTATTTACTTTGTTAAAACACAAATAAAATAGAAGCAATGTCATTTTCGGTTTACCAAAAGAATCGTATGATGAATCTGACATAACGTGCTATAGTTTTTTGTCTGCAAATATAAGAGATAAATGTCTTAATCCACGTTATAGCATTCTCGGTTTTTTTTTTTTTTTTTTTCTGTACTCTTTTTGTAGACATTGTTACGGTAACACTAAGTAAAGAAGAGGTACATAAATTAACCGATTTCACATTCGAATAATTTTATGTTGCTATAGTATTTTAAAAATAAATAACGAAATAGAAGTCATACCAAAAAATAAAAAATTAGAAAGGTAATTTCACAAATATATATTTTATCTCGTGCACTTTATTGGGTCATTTTTCTTTGACGTGATAAATATTTAAATTCAAAATAAATAAATAAAAAGTAGAATTTGACGTCGACTCCAACCTTGGTCCAATTTAGTTCTCAAGATAACTACATAGATTTACATAAACATACATTCATTATGTTTTTTTATCACAAAAGTCCTCGAGTCCTCGCATCTAATTCAACACGTTAAAATAAATAAAAATTACAATTTTAAATGAAGCAGAATAATTGTCGGTTTATTCCGACACTAAAACGTAATTGTCAACAGTGCATGAAAAACAAACATTTATCTATACACGAGTATAAGTGCAAAATATAATAGCATACATACACAACACATATTAAATGCAAACGTTTAACATAAACAACGTTATTATAATATACTACGACAATATATTTGTGTATATATAACTAAAACATACACGACAAATGTGTTTTCATAACCTTCACATATCATATGTAATATAATTTTTATTTGATAATTTAATATAATATTTATAATGCTGGCCGCGTGAATATATAAAATTACCTATTTAGGTAAAATAGCAAAAATTTGATTCATATTTGATTGGACGATAGATTAGTGTGACGATTAATTTTCCCATTTTAATAAAAATAAAAATCGTGGAAATAAATCTAATTAAAACGACCCAGAGATTAAATTAAATTAAAAAATGTTATAATTATTACAACATATTCCAATAAAATAATTAAAATGTAGTGTAATGATAAGCTACAAAAGAGAACCACATTTTTATAATTATTTTAATTTAATTATATTTAAATCAGTTTCTTACTTAAATAATCTTATTTTATTTATATAAAAAAAAAAAGAATTCGACAAGATAATATAACAATTCTTATTTTAATTATACCGCGAAATTAATATGAATTTGTTTTTTTTTTTTAATATTTAATTTTTATGAGCATAAAGGTGGCGCGGGTTTTAAATTAAAGGTGTGCCAGGGTGGAGCCTAGTCATTGACCCGCAGGATTTTAAATATTTAAAACCCGCGCCACGTCTTGTCCACTTTCCATTAGCGGTTTCTTGCCTTGTGCGTTTTCCAAATACTCCAAATAAAAAAATAAAATTAAAATATAAACATAGCCACGTGGAGAATCAACCGCCCAACTCACAAGCCACGTGCGAAAAAAGTAAGGGTTAAAAATATAATTTTAATTTATGCATTTTTCTTTAATCTTTACATAATATCTATTTTATTGTTTAAAACATTATTTAAAATATTTATATTTTATTGAAATTCAATTTATGTATAATTTGTATAAATTTAATCATTATTGAAAAATATTATTACAATTTAATAAAATTTCGTATACGTATAAAAATATTTAATTAAAAATTACATTTTAATCTTAATCTCACACTTTTTATTGGATATCAATTTTATTTATAAATTATAAAAATTAAATTATTGTATAACAAACATTATTATTATTAAATCGTGGTCCGTTTAAACTTATATTATATTAAATCGTTACAAATTAAAATAATATTTCTCTTTTTTTTTTTCTTTTTGTCTTAATTATTCACCGTCATTTAAAGTGTTAATTAAATATATATATATATCACATGTTCTTAGACCAACCATACAAAAAAAGTATATTCCAACTTTTAAGGCATTTATTCCCATCAACATATTTTTTTTCAAACGGCAAGACCATTTTTTTAATAATGAAAATTTCGAATTTTATTTATTACATTTTATCACCTTTTTTTTATAAACAAAATTCCACGTGTGTATATATATATATAATTCTATAAACAAATTGGGAGAGGTTAAAAATGTTTTTTTAGTAATTTATATTTTGTGGTGTTAAATTGACGTGACACGTGGATAATTTATATATTCAATTGATAAATAGATCGTAAGAGATTAATTGATATATTTTTTTATTGTACAATAAAAATTATGCAAATACGTGAAAATCTCGACATTTCTACTGCATGAACACGTTGTCTACTTGTTTCAAGTTGCTTGTAAGAATGAAAATTATTATTACCGACCAATATAAGTCATTTTAGCATGATTTATTCTCGCTTACGTACTTCTAATAAAAATTTATAGATAGTCACTTAAGATAAAACTATTTAACTTTGAAGTTCATAGGATTGAGCTACTGAATAAAAAAATGTAAACATTGACAAATATGAATCATTATAATTGTTATCACATTGTAAAATCTCCCAATAAAATGCGTGGTTCATAGATGAATCGAGACGAAAATTGGTAGGATGTAATGCTCGAATAAATGAGGGATATATGAATGAACCGATATCACATTCGAATGAGAATTATATTTAAGGACGTGATGGTTAAGAAATATTTTAAAAAATTAGTTATTATATATATATGTCAACCATATGTACTTTCATTTTCGGTAGCTCGATCATAAAAACTCTCATATAAGGCGGTAAAAATTAGAGGGCATTTAAGTAATTTTTACACCCCACATTATATATATATATCAATAATATGTACTTTCATTTTCGGTAGCTCGATCATAAAAACTCTCATATAAGGGGTAGGCATTTAGGTAATTTTGACACCTACACGTTTTCGAATTTGGTTTCTATTTACTAGATTTGGCGCATATTTCAAATCAGAATAATCCGAAAAAAAAAAAAAAAAAAAACACCAAAATACCGATGTGCCCTATGAACCAAAATTCAGCAGAGAGAACAGAGAGAAACAGAGACGCGAGTTTTTCCGGCGAGCAATTCTGGGCTTTTCTTCCCCTCCTCCGCTCGCCCTGCTTTGGCGTTTCCAAGGAAAACCATGGCCTGTGTGCACATACCGGTGCGGAACTCGGAGGAGGAGGTCAGGGTAGCTCTTGATCAACTCCCTAGGGACGCTTCCGAGATTCTCGATATGCTCAAGGCCGAGCAAGCTCCGTTGGATCTCTGGCTAATCATCGCGGTTCGTTTTACTCGCTAAACATGAAATGAGATATATCTTTATGCTAGATTTCAGCTCCATTCCCTTGCACATCTCGTGACGTTGAATCCTGTCGCAAGAATTGTTTTCTGTTCGGAATACCTAATTACGAATTTTTGTGTGTAATATGCGTAATGGGTGAAGTTGATGCAGTATTGTGCTTGTATATTACTAATAATTACCCATGGACGAGGCGGTGACCGAATTCTCTGTGCGTGCGTGCGTGTTTTTTTCTTCTTTTTGCGGAAATTTTAATGTAACTAGCTCTTTTTAAGCTGTTGATTAAGGGAGTGGAACCAAACTATCGTGTTTCTAACTTCAATTTTGGCCAGGGATGAAAAATTTGATTGATGAGTGCTTTATATTTACATTTGAGTAACTGTGCAAACTAGATTGACATAAGTTAGAACTTCACATACCTACTGTGCAAACTAGTTGGTGATTGTATAATAAAGAGCTTAGAGGAAATAAATTCAATCCATGGTGTCCACCTATTTAGGATTTAATGTCTTATAGGTATTTTTGGCACCCAAGTGTTGAAGGGTTAACGAGATATCCTGTGAGATTAGTCGAGATGTGTGCAAGGTTGTTGGAACACTTAGAGATATGCAAAAAATCTTGGTGACTGTGCAAGCTTGGAGATGAGCTTAGCTCTTGTTGGTACAGATGTGTATAAGTATTTCCTATTCGAACGTCCTTCCCAATATATTAGAGGGTTTACTAAAACTTCATGTCACTAGGTTTTTTATGACCACTTAAATCTTTTATACCTATTATGGGGCTATCAGTTTGTCCAGTCTCCTTGGTTCATTGGTTTTACCTTTGCTTTATATGGTATTATTGAGGAGTTGCTCCTGAGTTCACCTTTTTGGGCGGATGGAATTTCTTTGTGGCAAGCTAGTTTTTTTTTTTTTTTTGTTTTTGTTTTTGTTTGTTTGTTTGTTTGTTATTTTGTGAGAAGCTTGACTCAAGAGAAACGATGAGATTTTTGGAGAGGAGGAGAGGTCATGTGTTGAAGTTTAGGAGGTAGTGAGGTTTAATGTATCTCTGTGGGCATTTGTCCCTAGGTTTTTTTTTTTACTTTTTTTTTTTCTCGTAAATATGAACTTAGTTTGATTTATTGGATCGAAGTCCCCTTTTGTAGTTTCCTTTTGTACTTTCAGTTTGTTCATTCCACCAACTACCAATTTTAATGCTATATTTATTTAGTATGGGATTCTTTTTACCCGTTTAATATATTGAATTGCTGCGAATATCTTGCATTTCATATACATTTAATTTTAGTTTAAATATAGTTTCCATCATTTTCTTTACCTACGTCTTGTGCTGTCCCAATGATGATGGGCTATAATGAGAAAATTGCTACTTCAAGATCAATTATAACTTCCCTATCAAACTTAGAAGTTCATGCCTTTTATGAAAAACTATTCGTTTTGACCTTGCTATGATCTGAGTATATATTTCTTGAGGTTGCTTTTATCATGTATTACATTAGTGTCTGAGTTTCCATGTACCATTTCGTTGACACGTCCCAGCGGGAATACTTCAAGCAAGGAAAACTGGAACAATTCCGTCAAATTCTGGAGGAAGGGTCTAGTCCAGGTATTGGCTTCTTTTCAAATGTTGGAATTTAGGTTATTTTTATTTTTATTTTGCTAAATGTAATACCTTAATCAGTTGAATGCTACTTGATAGAATATTCAGGCTCATAGCCTACATAGTTTTCCAATCTTAACTCACCTTTTGTAATTTTGTTATTTTTGCAGATATTGATGAGTTCTATGCTAATGTTAGATATGAAAGAATCGCGATCTTAAATGCCTTGGGTGCTTACTACCACTATCTTGGAAAAATTGAGACAAAACAACGAGAAAAAGAAGAACATTTCACTTTGGCTACACAATATTACAACAAAGCGTCAAGAGTTGACATTCACGAGCCTTCAACTTGGGTTGGAAAAGGTTAACTTTTCTAGTAATTTTTTTTTTTGTTTTAAGCTTAATTTTATGCTATGACATTAAAATTAAACACAAATGATGATCTTTTGCTATCTATTTTAAACTGCTCACGAACATCCTTTGTTTATGTCTTTTCGATTAGTCTTTGAAGCATGCTTGGAACTAAAACACTTGAAATGTTCACAGGTCAGCTTTTATTGACCAAAGGGGAAGTTGAACAGGCATTTGCTGCATTCAAGATTGTTTTAGATGGAGATCGTGACAATGTTCCTGCCCTTCTAGGTCAAGTACGACCAAAATCTTTCACCTGACTCATTTGGTAACTCTAGATCATGGAAAAGAAGGTGCCATCTAGAAGATGATAACCTTTTTGGTCCCTTGATTATAAATTTATTCTTTAGTAGTACTTGATTTTGGAGTGGCTTTCTCCCAAAGATTATTTTATTTTATTTCAACGCTACTATTCTATACATTCTCTTGCAGATGGAATGCATCTGCTCATCGATTTTATCTGACATTTGGAAATAGTTGAATGTTAATTGCAGTTGGAATGCATCTTGTTTGATACTTATCTTTTTAAAAAGTCAATTGCCTAGGAGTGCTGTACTAGTTCTTATGCACTATTTCAAAGTTCTCATTGAATTGATTTATTTCTCTCTGATGTACCTGATGGGTTATGTGCCTTTCCCTGGTCTCATCAATGTGACGTAGAATTATTGTTGTTGCTTGATATTTGACTTTGCCGGTAACTTGATTGAGGTCTGATCCAATTCTTACAATAAGACTGAAGGAGTATGTGTTGGTTGATCTATTCTGCTCCCCTTAACATCTTCGGCATATATGCAGGCATGTGTTGAATTCAACCGTGGACATTATTCTGAATCATTAGAGCTGTATAAGGTTAGTTGGCTTTACATGTCTGCGCAATAAGTGATTTTTTAATCCGCTTTGTAATCTTTTATGCTCAGTGGGGGCCAACTTGCTCTCTTCCACGATTACTTAAGTTCATTGAAAGATACAATTATCTCAAGCCAATTTGATGACGCCTTTGGTCTTGTAACATGAATTTGCAAACAGAGGGCCTTGCAAGTGTATCCTGATTGCCCTGCTGCTGTAAGACTTGGCATAGGCCTCTGCTGCTACAAATTGAAACAATATGGAAAGGCTCAGCGAGCATTTGAGAGAGTTTTGCAGGCTAGTGTTATTAGTTTTTTCAGTCATTCATTAAACTCATGCGAACTTACCAACTTGAAGTTGATGTTGGCTTAATATTTCTTAATTTATACTTGCAGTTGGATCCAAAAAATGTTGAGGCTCTTGTTGCTCTAGCAATCATTGATATGAACACAAATGAAGGTAGGTTTCATTATGGGTTCCTTTCCTTCGCATGGAAGTTATTTTTTCTCGGTCATATTTTTCCATACATTCGAGTAATTCAATTGCGGTGTATATCCACCATGGCAGCTAGTCGAATTAGAAACGGGATGGAAAAGATGCAGAAGGCATTTGAAATATACCCTTCTTGTGCAATGGCTCCGAATTACTTGGCAAATCACTTTTTCTTTACTGGTCAACGCTTTTTGGTGGAGCAATTGACTGAAACTGCATTTGCCATTGCTGACCATGGACCCACTAAGTCTCATTCTTTTTATAATCTAGCTCGGTCTTACCATAGCAAGGTATGATAGCCATCTTGATCTCATAACGTTAAGAAGTGGAGGAGAAGACTTACTGAACCGATGGTAGAATGTCTGTAGGGAGACTATGAGAAACCTGGCTTGTACTACATGGCATCCGCAAAGGAAGCTAATAAACCCCGTGAGTTTGTATTTCCTTGTCATGGTAAGTTCGTTTCCTTCTTTCCCCTTCCTAGCATGAATATTGACTATTGGGGGTCTCATACGTATTTATAATTAGGGTTCAAATGGCATGAGAATGGTTTGATAAAAGGGAGTTTTATTCAAGTGATGACAGCCTCAACAATTTGCCTAATTCTGTTTATTGGTCAATTTGCCAATTCTGTTTATTGATGTTCCCATGGTGCTTTGTGGTTAATTTCTACATTTCTGGTTGTTTATTTGGTTCAGGTTTGGGTCAGGTTCAACTGAAGATGGGAGATCTTGGAAGTGCATTATCAAACATGGAGAAGGTTTTGAAGGTTTATCCCAACAATTGTGGGACATTGAAAGTGAGTGAGTTGAAGCTAAAAGATATTTAGATTCGTGTTTCAGTTACTTGTATGCCCTAGATTTTTGTATTCCTAGCCTTCATTTTTTTTTTGTCTCATTAGTTGTTACTGGTTTTGATATAGGTACTTGGTCATATTTATGTTCAGCTTGGTCGGTCTGAGAAGGCCCAGGAGGCTTTAAGGAAAGCTACAAAAATTGATCCACGTGATGCACAGGTAGACCTCAAGTTGGGGGAGTTGGGAGGCTTTATAATGTCTTGATGTTGCAAGTTGCCATCTCCAAGTCTTAATGTTTGATGTCTTTATTTGACACCCGATCATTGATCATGCCTGGATACTAAAGCATAATATATCATTATTAATTTGCATAGCTGCAAAACTTAAGATGCTAATTGTTCCCTCAACACTTACCTTTAGCGCTTTGGCACTGACAGATCATTTCTTTCATAAGCTTCTGTGGAGTTTTCGTGGTTGATCGTATTATTTTACTCTAATGATCATGAGAATACTTCTTTTCTTTGTAAGCGCTAGCAAGAATTGCCTTTGTAACTATAATCTATCAGCAGAAAAATGGTGGCAACAAAACAATTGGCTCCAAGTGACATTAGGCCTGGTGCACGTTCAAGATTAAAATTTGAACTTCCTAAAGATTTTATTTTGTTCGTTATACTTCTATACTTTTTTTAAACTTCGGGGGGTGTAAGGCTGTATGTCGCATCACACCACACCCATCTATTCTTCTGTTCCTTCACCCAAATTGGAACTGGAATATTGTGTATTCTTGATTTTAGTTTTATGATTAAATCAGAGAGAATCCAATTGTGCTAGAACGTTCAGCTAGCCATTCCATTTTTCCTTAAGACGACGTTCTTGCACATTTCTACATTTTTTCTACTTTTTTATTGGAGGCTTTCCTACAAATGTCCAGATTTTCTGTTTTTTTGTCAAAGCAAGTACTATTATGTCATTGTTATTGCCACATATATGAACATGCTACCGTTTAGTTTTCACTACATGTAATATAACGTAGAATTAAATTGCATTGCAGTCCTTTTTAGACCTGGGAGAATTGTTGATTTCAACCGATGAAGATGCTGCTTTGGATGCCTTCAAAACTGTAGGGACTTTTTTATTTATTTTTTTATTTTTATAATTTAAATTTTATTTTATTTGCAATCAGATTTTCTATATGATCGGTATTTACTTCCTAACTTTTTATTTATTACTGCTCTAATCTAATAATTTCTTTTGGTGTTGAGTGTTACAACAGGCTAGCATTCTCTTAAGAAAGGGAGGTCAAGAGGTACCTACTGAAGTGCTCAACAATCTTGGGGTTCTTCACTTTGAAAGAGAAGAGTTTGAGGTTTGTTTGGTTTGATGTTGGTTATAATTGATTCCACAGAAAATTATTCTGTCAAAAGTTATTAAATGCTTCCTCTTCAAGATACTTTCTTACTTCCTATTCTTGTTAGCTTGCTGAGAGAAATTTCAAGGAGGCTTTAGGTGATGGAATTTGGCTAGATTTTTTTGACGGTAAATTGAGATGCACTGCTATTGAAGCAAGTGCGTCTGTTCTTCAATACAAGGACATGGAACTCTTTTATCAACTGGAGAGGGAAGGTCGTTCAATTGTACTGCCATGGAAGAAAGTCACAAGTCTGTTTAACCTGGCTCGATTATTTGAGCAATTGCATAACATTGAAGTTGCAAGTGCACTCTACCGCTTGATTTTATTTAAGGTATGTATTAGTAGCTCTTTGGGGTTCATTATTGCACTTTGCTTTTAACACCTCTTTTATTTGTTACAGTATCCAGACTTTATCGATGCTTACCTGAGGCTTGCATCCATTGCAAAAGCTAGAAATTATGTTCAATTAAGCATTGAATTGGTCCGTTAACTCTTCTGGCACATCTGCTTCTATATTTCTGTCTGGAAATTAATCTTGTATAGTCAATAATGTGTCCCTTCCGTAGGTTAATGATGCTTTGAAGGTAGATGACAAGTGCTCAAATGCCTTATCTATGCTAGCTGAGCTTGAGCTAAAAAATGATGACTGTGTTAGCACAAAAGAAACTTTACAGGCTGCAGGTGAAGCAACCAATGGAAAGGATTCGTCTGCGACTCTTTCTCCGGTGGGCTACTTTTTATTGTGCACATTCATTTTAGTTCATTTTAAATATCACTGTCCTGATGCTAAAAATTGTTTTACTTACGTAAATTTCCAATGTGCCGTCTTTCTGGAAATCATATTTGCTTCACACCTTGTATTGGTTATATAAAAGCATCTAGCATGTAGATGGTGTTTTCAAATTACTTCAAATTTCTTGTTTATGTTGGTTTAATTTAATTTCAGAGCTCATGGTCGGATAAGTTGCTGTCAAAAGTTGATTCAAAGAAGATTGGTGGTCGTGCGGGTGGTGAGAAGTTGTTGAATGAGATAGAAACCATAAGCAACGCTCTTTATCTGACCAAAAATCCGTTGAGGAATTCTAGTTCTGGTGCTAATGCTCGGCAAAGATCTATTGGGAAAACCAATTTGCCTGATCCCAAATCGCAGCCAAAAAGCGGCAATGAAGATCCAACACGTAAGGATAAGAAATCTATCTGGAGTTGGAAGACTTTGAAGGCGTTCTCCCATGTTCGAAACCGCAAGTTTAATTGTTGTTTCTCTCTCCTAGTTCAATCAATCAAGGGGTTACCTTCGGACCTGGATGATTTTAGTCTAAGTGTGTTCTGGAAGAGGCGGGATGGCTTATTGGTAACTCGCCCTAAGAAGGTCGTCCAGGGCAAGGTAGAATTTGAAGAGGAGTTGTACTGCACTTGTACAGTACATGGTAGGGGGAATGGACCCCATCATTCTGCAAAGTACGAGGCCAAACATTCTTTACTCTATGCTTCTGTATATGGTGCTTCTGAGGTTGATTTGGGGAAACATCGGGTTGACTTAACAAGGTTTCTTCCCCTTACATTGGAGGAGTTAGAAGAAGAAAAGAGCTCTGGTAAGTGGGCTACCATTTTTAAATTATCTGGTAAGGCTAAAGGGGCCACAATGAATGTCAGTTTTGGATACACAGTGGTGGGTGATAATTTAACTGCCTCTGGAAATCATATTGGCGATTCCTTAAAGTCGAAGCAGAATAAATATGGTATTGGGAAATCCGAGATGGTGTTCGGTGAATCTGGTGGAAGAAGCAGAATCCAGAATACCAAGAGTTCTCCTGGAAAGACGTATAATGATTCTCTTGTTTCATCCCGACCAGAAGATGATATAAAGGATCTTCATGAGGTTTTACCAGTACCGCAGTTAGAACTTGCCAAGTCGGTAGATGTATTATACAAAAAATTTGATGATGGTGAATTTGATGCTTCAGCGGACAGCAACCCCAAGCTGGATGTGTGCACTGAATATTCTCATCTAATGAAATCTGAGGATGAAAATACCGATGTTGATTGTGGAACTGAGTTTTCATTTGTAGAACAAGGGATTGAATTGTCATCCATGGAACAGGGGGAGAAAATTGATGCACAGATTGAAGTGTTAGCAGAGGAACAGGTGGAGAAAATTAATGTAAAAGTTGTCGATTCCTCTTCAGTTGGACGCCCTGAAATAGACAATGAATCATTGATGGTTCATGACGAGGGTAGCAGGGTTGACCAACAGAAGGAGAAGCATGATAACTACACCGAGGAGCTTGTTGCGTGTAATAGTTCTTCAAATGATTATGATATTTATACCAAAGAATCGATCCTGAAGGAGTTGGAGTCAGCTTTAAGTTGCGTGTCTGAACTGGAGACAGTAGCATTGGAGTCTCCTGAAGAAGAGCATAACTCAGAGTTCATGTCAAGTGATGAACCAACTGGAGAGTGTCTACCCCTTGATTTCGACGAAGAGTTTTTGGAAGACGAATGTTTGGAAAGTGATTTCTTACGTATGTTGGGTATTGAGCAAAGTCCATTTGGCTCGAGTTCTGATAACGAGCCAGAGTCTCCAAGAGAGCAGCTGTTACGACAATTCGAGGATGAAGCCGCAGCCGGTGGTTATTCCTTGTTCGATTTTGATATTGAAGATGATAATTATCCAGCATGTGGTTATAATTTTAATGGAAGTTCTGATACATCTTTTGATCTTCCGTCAATTGGCAATGCTAATGAAGCCATCGACTTCACAGAAGATGCAGCAGTATGGAGTAAGACGAAGGCAAAGATGTTGGAAGATTTGGAAACTGAGGCTTTGATGCACAAATGGGGATTGAATGAGGAAGTCTTTCAGCAGTCTCCATCCAGCAGCTCTCATGGGTTTGGAAGTCCATCTGATTTTCCTTGTGAAGACCCGTTCGACCTACCTCCTCTCGGAGAAGGATTGGGTCCATTTATCCAGACAAAGAATGGAGGTTTTTTGCGAACTATGAATCCTGCAATTTTCCAGAATGCTAAGAGCGGTGGGAACCTGATTATGCAAGTTTCTTCTCCGGTGGTAGTGCCTGCAGAAATGGGTTCTGGGATAATGGAAATACTACAGCGTCTGGCCTCGGTTGGAATCGAAAAGCTTTCTATGCAAGCAAATAAGTTAATGCCATTGGAAGATATAACTGGGAAAACAATGCAACAGGTAGCATGGGAAGCTTGTCCCGCTTTGGAGGGTTCTAACAGGTTTGTGGTCTCATTTTCAATGACTTGCCCCCCCCCCCCCCCCCCCCCCCCCCCCCCCCC